AGTGATGAATTAATGTTTTTATTGAGGTAACGGATGTATTATACATAATTTCATTAATATATTATATATTTAGATACATACATGCATCAATTTAATAAAAATATAGAGATAAATGTATGTATAACATTCCATACATCCGTTGCTTTAAAATAAATAAGTTGTAACAGATTAGGATAAACTTAATCTTGGATGCCTCTTTATGGAATTTATTGTGTATTCACTGTTACACTCAGTTTGAGAATTATTTTTAATCCGAAATAATATCTTACTGGCACAATGATCATCGAAACGTTTTTAAACTGTGCATCGAACATCGAGTCTCATTGTGAATATAAATATATATCTATAATTATATATGTGTGTGGAATTCTTCCCCCATTATATATATTTATATATAAATCAATATTTCTATTCAATTATATATAAGCTTGATGAAAAATTTTATATATAATTATACATATATAATATTACATATATAATATAAAATTACATATAATTATATATGGAACTTTTATCTCGAGTCTTATTTTATTGTAGATTTACAATATTTTATGTTTTATATTAAGTTTCATATTAATTACTTTATCATTTAAAATATGATTGTAGATCAAAAAAATAAACTAATAAAAGCAATTGTAATTCAATAAGAGTTTCTTTTACAATTATAATATATATTTTATAAAACATTAAAAAATGTGTATTGTTTGATCCTTGATCATTCTATAGTAGGAAAAATACCTTTATACAATCCACAATTCTAAAAATACATATATATACATTCGTATATTTCCATACACCATAATAATTTATCTATCATTTTTCATTTATGTCAATATTCTAATATGATATGGATGATAGAATACGATCTATAAAAGAGTCAGTGAAAAATATGTGAGAACGATATAAAATAGATATATATATTTTTATTTTTTTCGTATTCTATATTCATATCTTTTCATTCTATATTATACCTATATTTTTTATTTAATTTGTGATATAAAATTCTATAGATTTTAGATAGACTGTACTTTTCAACTGATTCCCACATAGGTATTTTCGGGGTGTATATCACGCAACTCCTGAAAAGAAAATAACAAGTGAATATTAAAAATAATAAAAATATATACAGGGTGCTTGAAAAGTAATGAAAAATTTTTCGCATAGAGGCAGAATGGACTAAACTGAGAAGAAAAGTCCTGTACTATTTTACAATTTTCGCAATAGTTAACAAGATATTAATTACTAAAAATTGTCGAAAATTGGTCTTCAATGATTTTTTACTCAAATACTATTAACTTTACAGAAAAACTGTAAGAGACAAAAATTGTTTTTCTTCTCATAAGGTTCTGAGAATTTTTTCAGAATTTTTTAATACCGTATTTTCTTATGGTGGTAAAAATAAGAAAATGCAGTACTAAAAAGTTGATAAAAAATTCTGAAAAAATTCTTAGAGCTTTATGAGAAGAAAATTATAAACAATGTTTGTCTCTTTCAGTTTTTCTGTAACGTTGATAGTATTTGAGTAAAAAATCATTGAAGACCAATTTTCGACAATTTTTAGTAATTAATATCTTGTTAACTATTGCGAAAATTGTAAAATAGTACAGGACTTTTCTTTTCAGTTTAGTCCATTCTGCCTCTATGCGAAAAATTTTTCATTACTTTCCAAATACCCTGTATAATTCTGTATGTATAAAAAAACAATGTATTTGTGCGTGTATGCATATATACGTGTATGCGTATATGTGTAAGTAATGACTACATATATAAAATCATATTATTAAATCAAAATACAAATGTATTAAATTTGCTTTTCTATATCAAATTATATGAAATTATAATCTGTATTAAAAATAGCATAAGCTATATGAGAAAACATTTGAAACTATCTGTATTAGTTAGAACTTACGAAGAACACTAGACAATCCGAAAATTCAGAAAATTCTGAAACGTTGCGTACAAATAGAGTAGTTCATCCGTAATACAAAACTATTTTTTGTTTGTGCGGAATTATTTTTTTTTAAATAGTTTTTTTGAAACACTTTTTTGAAAAAAATTGATTGTCTTTTTTCGATTCGAAGCAAATATTGTCGAAATTGTTCTGAATAAAATTTCAATGGTTTTAAGAGTATACTTTATAATTATATATAATAAAAAGTTTCTTTTTATTATATTTATTCTATACCTCCACTCTCACCCATACTTTCAAAAATTTTTATTATAATTATAATATACTCTTGAGAGAGAGAGAGAGAGAGAGAGAGAGAGAGAGGGAGAGAGAGAGAGAGAGAGAGAGAGAGAAAACTATTCAACTTTCATTCAAAACATTTTTTAATCTCTTACAATTTCAATGATATTTGCTTCGAAAGAAAAAAACCGATATTTTCAAAGGGGTGTCATTTTTTAAAATCGTAATTCCGAAAAAAATGTTTTGTGTTACAAATGAACTATTCTATTTGCAAAAAAGTTGCGATCTGTACTTAGGATTATTAATATTGTTAGTTATCTTCAAGCAATTTAATTAAAAAAATGTTATTTGGATTTTCATTTATATCTATCTACTTCTATTTTAATTCGATACAGTGATTCATTTACATTAGTTTTTCAAATGATAGACACTTCAAGCAATCTATTTTTAAGATCAATATTATCGAAAATACTTAACTTGTCTTAGCACTGAGACACTACCGTGTCTCCTAATACATGATGACTGTTTACCCAGACAGAACAAAATCATGATAAGATCAAAATGATAAGATCAAAATAAATGATCATGATATATCATATAATTTAATTATGATAAGATCAAGATTAAGTAGAAGTTATGTTATGAAAAGTTATAATGATTTCTACTTCATATCATCTTATTATGATTGTGTTCTGTCTGGATACAATTGGCTATCTTTAGAAATACTTTGAAAATCCATTAGTTTTATCATTTGAAATTCGTATTGAATAATAAACATTTTGAATAATGATACACTTAATATTTTCTAATAATTATATTAGCGAATGGTGATATGAAATTATTTAAAAAGATCTAGAAAGTGTATATGATTGTCGTACAGAATAGTGCATTTGTTGTCCCCTTGAGATATGCAACTAACATATATTATTTTTAATAAATAATTTTGCATCATATAAATTAATTAAAAATTTTTTAAATAGAAATTATTTGATATTATATTTTATATTACATTATGTCAAATTAGGAATTATGCCAATTATATCATAAAATTAAATCGAATTCTTTAAAGATATTTAAAATTGAATAAACTGTGATATAATTGTGCTACGGATTTTTGTAAATATAAAATTAAAAAGTTTCGAGAAATACATTTTTAAAGAGTCATTCATGCAGAATAAAATATTTAACATACATGCAACATGTGGTAGTGGCTAGTCTTTGCTTTCTCTCGTTCTACTTCTTCCTCATTGGCTTCCCGATTCGGTAATATCGATAATCCGTCCATATTCAGTGGACCAAAAGTCCAACCGCCGTCTCCATCGAATTTCAACAATAATTTGTGATATTGTGCGAGTGATGCCACTCGGTGAGTGATGGTTAACAGAGTGATTCCTTTCTTCTTCGCGGTTTCGTACATTATTCCTTCAGCTTCGAGACTGACAGCACTTGTGCATTCATCTAATAGAGCATATTGTGGAGCGTGATAAAATAGTCGAGTCATTGCGAGTCGTTGTTTCTCGCCACCCGATAGAGTAGAGTCCCAGTCGCCGAGAGCATCGAAACCTTCCGGTTCTCGTTCCACAATACTTCGCAGATCCACATCATCCAGCAATTGTAACAACTCTTCATCCGAACAATTTTCCAATCTGCAACATAAAGATAATGCATATCTTTTTTATTCATATTTTAATGAAGAATCGAATAAAATGTATAATTATATTTAAAATATATAAATATATATGTACATATGATATATATTTATATACGTATTATGAAAATTTAATTAATTATAATTTACAGCGCTTGGTAAAATAACTGATACGACCTATTTAAAATAAAAAATAGGTCAGAAGAAGTTATTTTAAATAATAAATACTAAATAACTATTTCATTTTTTTAATTTAAAATATATATTTTAAATAACTTTATTTTAAATACGATCGAGCCCTGATAATTTGATAATTATATAACTTGAATTATATTAGTTTGATTAAATGTAACAATATAATTTAAATCTGTTTCGGTTTTTATTTTTAATGAAATAATATATATGAACCTAGAATGCGCTGGATAGATAATTTGATCTCGAAGACAACCCACTGTCATGTACGGTTTTTGTGGGATATAAAATAAGGCAGGTCTGCTATGCTTAGAAGAATTTTTTTCAGCTGGTCTGACGAGAGTTCCATCATAAACAGGCCAAAGACCAGAAATGATACGAAAAAGAGAGCTTTTACCGCAGCCATTAGGTCCGGTGATTAGTAGATGGTCGCCTGGTTTTATCTGTAAATTATAAATAAATATATAGATATAATACATATATTTATCATATTCTATTGATTGGGATCTAATAAAAAGTAATAAAATGAATATAATGATACGATACAAAATATGATAGAAATAAAATAATAAAGACATATATAATTTTATGTATTTATAAATGCAAACATACATATATATATTTATATGTAGAATAGTAAGTAATGCATAACGAGTATATAAAGTGAATGCATAATAAAATTCCTAATTATAGTACGCATATCTTTCGTGAGGTTGAACATTGGAATAGATATAATGATTCTGTAACTATGTAAAGTTCGTGATAACGAATTACTTACGTGGACTGTTAAGTTAGGTACAATTATTTCGCAATTAGGTGTGACTATCGGAACGTTGATTAGGCTTATACTGCCATCCGTGCTTTCGCGAACAATTCCTGACAAATAATAAAGTCACGTATAACAATTTTCTCAGAAACGTTTAACATAAGGAGAGAGTAATAGAAACGTGAACGAAACTTCTAGAAAGCGAATTGAAACAACAGAACATAAAAGAAACATAAACGCCTCTTTTACGTTTCGTTGGTTCAATTTCCTTCCTAGAAGTTTCGTTTACGCTTCTGTTACTCTCCCCTTATGTTAAATTTACGTTCCGATTTTTATTTTTGCCAGGATTGGAATTTTTGGTTCAAAATGATCTCAGGAATCAACTCTTAAGTGTTGTTACAGTTTTTGCCGGACGCCCTGTATACTTCGTAATATTCAAAACTATTTATTAAATTATCAATTAGTAACACGTTAAAGTATCATTTTTTTAAATTAATAATTTCAAAATATTACAAAATATATATTAAAAATCGTAATCTTATTATTAATTAAATAATGATATTAATCAAATTTTATATTATGTTATTAATTATCCATTGAAATAATTTAATTTACCTTTTATTATTGGGGTACCGTTACTAAATTCGATTACTTTTTCCGCGAATTCAGTGTTACCATTTAGAAAAGACCTTGATGAACTAGTAACGATGTTCCTCCTATATTTGCAAAGTGCGGCATCCTTAAATACGTCTAGCATTTCGCTGACGCGCGCCGCATATCCCGCCAATGCGACTAATTCCTATTTTAACAAAAATTAGATTAATAGGTATCTTAAGCATATCTTTGAAATCTTTAAATATGGTTTCCGTTTGGATTCATTTTTTAATCTCAAAATATATAGGATTAGAGAAATTAATAAGAAGTATGATACATACTTTATAAGACGACATAAGTCGTTCAACAGCATCTGCTCCAGAGCTCAAAAGATTTTTTGAAGTAGTTAGATACCTTGTTCGCTCACTCACACCATCTAATTAGTAGACGCAAGGATAAAATATTATATTAATTTATAGTTATTATTAACATTTATATTACAATTATTATATGTTATCATTAACTTTCTTTTTCTTCTTTTTTCGTATGGTATACATAAAAATATAAATAATAATAAGTCAATATCATCCGATTATTTGCTTGTGCTCTTCGAACACATTTCTATACGAAGCGCAGTTTGCATGAACTGTAAAAATTTACGCAAAAATATCGCGTACCAAGATCCGCTTTGACAAAAAAATAATATAGTTTAGTAAAAGATACTTCGTATAAAATATATAGAGTGTATAGTTCTATATAGAATTACATTATAATAATGTAGAATTATAAAAATGTTCTATAAATCTATAAACTATAATGACATCATTATTGCTATTTTCTTTGAATGATATGTTATGTTTAAAAATATCAATGCTTGCTCATTGTACATACCATCGCTATCTGCATTAATCATCCTACTTCCCAATGATGTAGCTGTTGTATTATAAAGCAACGGCATTGCGATAACGAGAAGTCCCGTACCAGACCATACATACTTCATGAGGAATTGTTCCAGCATCACATACCATAATTTTACAGCGAGAATGCGATGCAAATGCGTCACTAAAGACTTATAAGCGGAATTCAAATAACGATGTTCCGTATCATGACCCCCATAAAATGCGATTTCTTCTGCATGCACACCAATACGAGCATGTGCTTCTCTTAATTTCCCGCGTCGTGTTGCTTCTTCAGCAACTAACTGGCCAAACTTCGGTGAAGCAAAACGCAGAATTTGTCCAGTTAAAGCAATAACCGCTGCCGCTAATAATGGTCCTAGATAATAAAATATAATATAATAATAAAGATTTATATATACATACAGGGTGTCCCATAACTTATCTGACAACGCTCGTGGGCAGGTAGAACGGACTAAACTGAGTCGAAAAGTCCTCTACTATTTTGTAATTTTCGCAATAGTTAACAAGATATTAATTACTAAAAATTATTGAAATAGAATATTTGGCAATTTTTAGTAATTAATATCTTGTTAACTATTGCGAAAATTACAAAATAGTAGAGGACTTTTCGACTCAGTTTAGTCCGTTCTACCTGCCCACGAGCGTTGTCAGGTGAGTTATGGGACACCCTGTATATAATAATTGACTTAATTCTCCTTTATACACACATATAGTCGACACTTCTTATTCGCGGGAATTACGTATCCGACAACTGCCGCAAATACGAAATCCACGAATATAGAATGATTAAATGTATGACAGTATATAGGATGCGTTAAAAAGAATTAATTAAACAAAAACTAAGAGATGATCATTATTTGCATGATATAGTAGTATGTATACTATTATATAAGACGACGTCAAAGTCAGGGTCATTGGGGATGGCGCCCCTTTTCTGAACATTCACCAAAAATTTTTACACATCAATAACTGCGTTGGCTCATCACAGCTATTTTCTTTTCATTCTCAAATTTTATTTAAAATTCTGAGCCTTAATTAGTTTAAGTAACATTAATTATTAGTTAAAACCAATTAAGTTTTAACCGATCGAAGAATTTAGTAGAAATCACTATAGAAACATAAAGATCTCACCTGGTATCGTTTTTGCACCCATTTTGTGTGAAAATGAAATGAGCGCTATACCAACTAAAGCACAGTCTAATAGCGGTTTTGTTAAACTAGAATATAGATGTGCTACAGAACTGGCTAGCTCTGACAAGTCATCTGTCAGTCTTTGTTCGGCCCCGCCAAGTCTGGTGTCTAAAGCCGATACCCTATAGTAAGTCTGTTGACTCAAGTACATCTTGTAGGCGTGTTTCACCAGACGCTCCCTGCATAAATAATCAAAGGATTAAATTTTGTTCTACAGGATCTTTTTATCTAATCTAAATGAGGATACTTTTATTGCTTTTAATCATATTCAAGATAGAATGGTAAATGTATATTGTTATATATGAAAATGTATAAAAGAAGTTATATTTATTATGTGAAAGTGAAATATAACAATATATTTCTCTTTGTTATAATACATTACAAAAAAAAGCACATAGTTGCTTTAAAAAATATTTATGCAAAATGGACAATTTCTTAAATAAGCAACTATGTGTTTTCTTTACACCAATTAATCCATCTCATATTATTCTGTTCATAAAAGTATTAAGGTACGATAAAAAATTAATAGTTTACGAGATATTTAATATTTCATGTTACTATGTGCTAGAATAAAGTATAAAACATCTCGTAAACTATTGGTCTTTTTATATCAATATTCTAATACTTTTATATGATAACAATTAGAGGAATCATATTATGAAAAATAAATTATGTAATTACATTTAAAAAAGTGAAAGTGACCATATCTTTTCGGCCTTCACCTAGAAAAAAACAACATGACCAAAATACGTCTTTTACGAAACCGTTTCACTTTCATTCGAAATATTTTTTCGTATCATATTAAAAATAAGCGAGATATTCAAGATGTTCCATTTAAGTGGAGCACTCTGTATGATATCTACATATTTACTTGTTTAGTTATCTGGTAGTTACAGGGTAGTGTGTCCGGTGAATAATATTCGAATAAATGAATAAAAAATGAGTGAAAATACTCATTCAATAAACATCTTTTTTATTCGTCAAGAAACGAATAAATACTTTTTCATTCCATTTGAATGAATATTTTTTGAATATGATTACGAATATTTTCGTTTCATATTCACTTTTAGTCTGTATTATCTGCATATAGCCTGTAACCCTACAAAAGAAAACAGAAATCTATAAAAACGATGCGGCTACAATTATACTGTGCTCTTAGTCCGCGACCTACGATAGGCGTTCTTGTTTGACCTATAGGATAAACAAAAACATTTTTATTGGAAATAAATAATATATCTCGGAATTTAATGTCCTCAGACCATAATGGACGCGCCCAAGATATCTTATAAAATGTTTATAATTAGACATCGGATTATATGCATAATCAAAGTGTTAAAATATACATGCAAATATACATTAAAAAAGACCAAAATATGCATAAAATATGCACTATCAAAAAAGAAACGACTTAATTTAAGATATATTATATTTTATTACTTTAATGTCAAATTGAATAAACCCAAATCAAATTATCTCTCTTTGAATTAAACAAATTACAGCAAAATATTGGAAAAATCAACGAAACATAAGAATTTAAAAATTAACGAAACATAAGCGTTTATAACTAATTAATTATATTATATTATAATTTATAATTCTTATGACAATACACTTTTTTAAATTTTCAATTTGAAATTTGTGACGCTTATCACTTAATATCAGTTTGTAGGCCGAAAATGACCGCTCCACATCTACTGATGTCAAAGGACAACATTTGAAAATTTGGCGTTTTATACAAAAATATGCACTTTCAATAAAAAAATTATTATTATATATATGCAAAATGCTTCAAAAAAACCATTATATACATTTTGCATATGCAAATATGCAAATGCATATAATCCGATGTCTATTTATAACATTACTGTGATATAACCGGAATTATATTGAAATATGTATGGCGCTCTATCAAATAAATATTTATAAATAAAAAATGTATTGCTTTCTAAAATATTTTTCAAAATTTCTAAGTTTTCTTCATAAAATCTGAATACTTCAATGACAAAAATAAAAAAAATTCATTTTTTTCACTTAAAATCATCAAAATGCTGGTTATAGTTAAGGAATAACGATTGCGCGCGCGCTTATTGCAGCTCTCTTTTTCAATTTATATTTTGTTTGAATGAATATGAATACTTGTTAAATATTCATATTTTTTTTGTTGTGAATAAATATTTTTTGAAAACCCAAAAATTTGAATGAATATATGATTACATTTTTTTTATGTAAAAATTTTGAATAAATACAATTTGGAGCTCAATTACAAATTTTTGTATTCATCGGACACACTAATACAGCGTGACCCATTTTAATCTATCACACCAAATATTTCCGTTTCCTTGCATTTTACAAGAAAATGTTTCAGACAAAAGTTGTATCGTTTCAAGGGGGCCATAAAATGGTATTATTGATTTCAGCTTGGATGGTCGCTTAAAGACCACATGAAGGTCATCTTCAATTTCTTAAATTAAACCCACTATTTTTCATTACATATTCTTGTAGCTTACTTCGAGAACTTTTCAAAACACTATAATAAAATATTTTTTTATTAAGTATTTTTCGAGTTATAAGGCTCGAAAGTTACAGTACAGCCGGCATTAGCATTACGCAAGTTGTCCGACCGACGGCTAAAATCTCTTGAATGTTGTTCAGGATCATGTCCTGGATAACATTTGTCAAGATCAAGGCCATTGATGATTGTACCTCTTATTTTCATTTTTACGTAAAAATGAATTTTTGTGCATTTAAGTTACTTATTTACCTATTTATGTTATTTCTTCACTTGTCGATGTTACTTATTTATCCGAATACCTATACATATATACAGGGTGTTAGTTAAGTATTGCCATAATCAATAGAGCGATTCTTTGGTTTATTTCAAGTAAAAAAGTCCATATAAACATGTGTCCTAAACGGCTTAGTGAGGAGCATTTGCAATCTTTTATTACATATGATTTTGATTGCAAATGCTCGAGCAAACCACAAGTTACATAACTTGAAAGAACCACAAGTATAAAAAAATTTTTACGTGTGTGTGTGTGTGTGCACTTTGTAGCTGACTCGGAGTCGTACAAATTTCTTTTATTAAACTTTTTTGTAATTTCCATCAGTTGCAAGATATTTGCTCTGACATTTATGGACGGACACTCTGTATATATACATATATACAAAGTACCATTTTAATCAATACACTTGAATATCTCAAAAGAGAAAAGTTTTTTCAAAAAATCTTTCAGACAAAAGTTTTATGGTTTTAAGGAAGAAAGAAGATGGTGACCTTAGTTGACCTTAGAAAACGTCCTTAAGGCCAGGTCAAGGTTTGCATGAAGTTTTTAGAATGAAATCCCCCATTTTTTATTGCACACTCTTGTAGCTTATTTCAAGAGCTTTCCAAAACGCTATAATAAAATATTTTTTTATTAAATGCATTTCGAGTTATGAAGTTTGAAAGTTATGGTACTACTGGCATTTGCATTATCTAAAGTGTCCAACTGATAGCTAAAACCTTTTGAATGTTGCTTAAAGTCATGACTAGGGCAACAAAAATGTGTATAGAGCATGTTTTTTTTATTTGATTAATAAAGAAATAAACTAAATACAAATTTATTCCATAAGAAATATGCATTTTGAGCCCTATATGTTACAGCATATTTTTCATATTTTATGTAAGAGCATATTTTTGCATATTTCACACATAAAAGCATATTTTTGCATATTTTGTCCACACGTGCATAATATTTACATATTTTATCTTTTTGTATATTTCACATCATTTTCTGATTGTTTGATTAGTTTTCTTCTGACATAATAATAAATAGAATTTATAAAATAAATTCTCAATCAGAAATATGCTACAACGTATTTTATATTTTTGAAAAAGGAATGGATTAGATAAATGATTCCCACACGCCGTGATGTATTGGTGCGCAGTGATGTCAGAAAAATCACAAGGAGAAAAAAATTTTGCGCTTTTTACGTTCAATTTTCTATATTTCTGTGTCATACAATACATAATATCAAAGACTCACTCTCTCTCTCTCTCTCTCTCTCTCTAGAGTCACTATAATAAATAATATGTATTTGTTTAATTTTAATGCCCCGTAAGACTAATTAAATTTTTAAAAAATGTAAACAAATTTTATCAAATTCATTTTACTTTGTTATTATAAGTGAAAAACTTAATTAATAATTTGAAAATTTATGCGATAAAAAGTAATTTTTAAATGCATATATTCCTTTCATTAGAGCAGTTTTTCAATTTTACAGAGCATATTTTAGGCGCTTAAAAATGGATTTTTACAGCATAATTTTGGAATATACGCTTTTCTTTGGAGTATATTTTTTCAATTTCACAGAGCATATTTTAGGCGCTTAAAAAGGAGTTTTTACAGTTTAATTTTGGTTGCCCTAGTCATGATATTATATGTCATCAAGGCCATTGGAAGTTATTCTTATTTTCATTTTTCGCGGCAAATATTTCGTGCGCAGGTCGAGCGGACTAAACTAAGTCGAAAAGTCTTCTACATTTTGCAATTTTCGCAATAATTAACAAGATATTAATTACGAAAAATTGCCGAATATTGATCTTTAATATTTTTTTACTCAAGTACTATCAACTTTACAGAAAAACAGCAAGAGACAAAAATTGTTTATTTTTTTCTCATAGAGTTCTGAGAATTTTTTCAGAATTTGTTAGTGCCGCATTTTGTCATGTTTTTGGTAAAAATAGTTGCCAATAAGAAAATACAGTACTAAAAAGTTAATGAAAATTCTGAAAAAATTCATAGAGCTCTATAGGAAAAAAATAAATAATTTTTATCTCTTGCTATTTTTCTGTAAAGTTGATAGTACTTGAGTAAAAAGTTATTGAAAATTAAAATTCGACGATTTTTAGTAATTAATATCTTGTTAACTATTGGCAGTCCTTTTGTGTAGATAGACCGGACTAAACTGATTTGACGATAGGCCGAGCAAAGTTGGCTATTTTCATAAATTAATATCTCGTTAACCATTACGAAAATTGCAAAATGGTAGAGGACTTTTCGACTCAATTTAATCCGCTCTATTTACACAAAAGCGCTTTGCCAAAAAATTCGAGACACCCTGTATAAGTGCGCGCGCGCGCGCGCGCGTGGTGTGTGTGTGTGTGTGTGTGTGTGTGTTAAGGGGTTAGATATATGGATGGCATAGCATAATGGACACTATTCTAATAGAGGAGATATGTGGATATATATATATTTATTTTTAAATAAGAGTGCGACCGTGGGGAGACAACTATCTCGAATGGTAGCTGCCCCGCGCGCGTGACTGACTTGTGTGTAACTGATCGCGCGCCCGAACAGTCGTCCGCCCGGTAACATTAAAAACAATGACGATTTCCTTATCACGTGCTAAGTGCTTGACGACGAGATCGCTAGAAACTTCTAGGTCGCTCGCAAAAGAAATATTCGTAGAACATAACATCTAAATTATGCATAGAAAAATCTGTCTCGTTATCTCTCTCTCTCTCTCTCTCTCTCTCTCTCTCTCTCTCTCTCTCTGTGCTTTAGTCTATACCATCACAATTATAGTGTATGTGTGTGTGTGTATATATATATAATACATATATTGGGTCATTAAAATATAAAATGTCCGTTTTATTGTATTATTATTAATAGCAATCGTAACTTTGTTAAAAATTTTTATTAAAATTAAAAAATTTAAATTAATTAAAAATTTAAATTAAATTTAAATTAAAAAAAAGGTTTTAAAGTTTAAAGTCTCATATTTTCGAAGGGTCCCTATATTTTTTTAGTTTCTGTGAATTTAGTAATTTTTATATGTAGAAAACTATAAGCTGGATAAAATGGGAAATTTTTTTGTCATTTTGTAAACTTGTCATGTGCTCAAAAAATTTGAGAAAATTTTCGACTTTCTGTCGTAAAAGTTCAGAGCTTCCCTATAAAATTATTTAAAAAAATTGTTCCTAAGATTTGTTGTTACCGAGTCATTGCAGATTAAATAAAAAGTGCACTTTGACTTTAATCGCTCATTATAATTCTGCAAAAACTTATCGTAACACAATTGAAAAATACAGGTTCTTAAAGCTGAAACTTTGCTCTACACTGTGCAGATAGGCTAACACAACCAAAAATTGGCTGCTGCAGCCAATTAAAAATGCTATGCCATATTTTACCATCTAATTTGCTGCAGCAGCCAATCTTTTCTTTCAGTGTATCGAATGGTATAATTGTCAAATTAAAAAGAAGTCAACATTTTGTAATAATAATAATAATAAAGAACGCGGACGTTTCATATTTAATGACCTTACTCACACACACACACACACACATATATATATATATAGAATAGAAAATTAGAATAAATCGAAGAAACAAAGATCAACCGCCGTCACTCAGCTTCGAGAAGAAGCTGACGACATTCTTTGCCATGTCTTCGTCAGATGAACATTAATAAATTAGCAAATCTTTAAAAAAATATACATATATATACATATATAGGAGAACATAGTGTTCCTTTGACCGGTTGTACCTTTAATCATTTGAATTTATAAAAAATTTATTGGATACTTTTAAAAGCAAAAATATATAGTTTGTAGTACGAGTACCAGAGATGTTTTATAACTTATAATTATAACAATGAATAGAATTATACTCTTGTGAAAAATCATTTATTGTTTTCAAGCGTTCGAATGAAGTAATTTCAGGACGCTTTTTAATTTCATAAAATGTTGTATATGTATTCTGTCTTATGTTGGAATTGCCTAAAATGTTAAATAGATATTCAGAAAAAATTATTTAAAACTTAATACTGTCAATTTTAACCTATAATTTATGAAAATAATAACAAATATAAAGTAAGCAACCGTTGTACCTTTAATCAGTAACTGATATTGTACCTTTGACCAGTCAATATGACGTCGGATAATCATTTATTTTAGCTATCTCACCTCCAATATTAATAAAATTATGCTCATTAGACGCGATTTTGAATGAAATGAACGAAGGACACTATTTTTGTCAGATTCAATCGTTTCATGCAAAAACGAAAATCGCGTCTTTGTATGGCAAAGTTTATTGTTACATATTTTATATATAAAGTTATATATTTATGGTGTAAAAAGACATTAAAAATATAAAAATATAAATAAAATTAAACTTTTGTTGAATATCTTATCTTTATACACACGTTTTATACATTGGTTAAAGATACAACACTTCCTGGTCAGAGGTACAACATGGGTTTTGTATCTTTGATCAAAATTCAATTGTTTTCTGTTGTAAAAAAAGATGTACAAAACATAACAATTTAAATCTATAAAAAATATATGTTACTGTGAACACTTCAAAGAATATTTTAGAATTTTTTTTAATTTTTAAACATCAAAATATAATTTGCACAAGAAAAAATATCAAAATTGGTCAAAGGTATACCACCTTCCCCTATAGTTTCGTTTTGTTTCTTCGAATCTAATTTTCTATTTATCTTTTTATCTATCTTTTGTTTTAAATGTCATGTGATATAGTAAGGTTGAATGAATTTAATGAATGAATTTAATGCTACTTTAAAGAAAATAATAGAGGAATTGAAAAGAGATACTAAGAAGCATGCGATTCAACACGCATGCTAGAATCTCGATTCCACGGTATGAAAAAGAGAATTACCATTATTTCCAAAAAGAAGGAAATAAAAGCATTCACTCATCCATATCAAAAGAAGCACAGGAAATAGCAGGAGCGTACCTAAAGCTAAGCGCCAGCCGACCTTCCAGATATCTGATGGCGGAGTTGACGAAGGTGGCGGGCAAAGCGATGGCAAACCATCGTGCGAGCATTAAGCCAAAACCGTGTACATCGCGCAAAACTATCCTCTTCACAATTTGACCTTCCAATTCGGCTACATATACCGATAGAAAGGTTCTTGCCAACAACGTCAGTGTTGCACACGTCAATAAACCCATTTCTCGGGTACGCCATCCTGGTACCATAATCTTCAATAACATCATCAATTGTCGGAAAAAGTCATGATCCAATCCGACTGATAATCTTTGTTTTCCTCCGCCATTTTCAGTAGAACTGTTATCAGAAGAATTATTTTGAAGAACGGTATTGTTTCTATTGTGCTTAGAGTGGGATTGATGACTTTTCTTTTGGGTAGATTGTTTGAGGCGAGTAAGGACGTGCGGATAAGTGAGTTTGAGAAGATACAGTGCCGTAGCGGCTCCGGCGACGCTGCGTGTCAGCGTCTCCTGTCGCACGCCGTAGCGCGCGGACGCGCCGTCAATCAGCTTCGAGAACACTGACGACATTCTTCGTCTTCGTGTCCTGGACGGATGAACATTGACAAATTAACAAATCTTAATAGCGCGCATCCCGCGCTATCACAAAAATTACGATAATGATGGTAATAGCGACGCATCTACGATTCAACTCCGTTTCGTTGCAGTTCGTTGCAGTTTATGCTATTTTAGACGCGAGTGAGAGCGCCTGTTGCACACGCGGTTACATGAACGCATACACACGTGACCATTCGGGCCGGCCATCAGCTGGCGACTAACGCTTACCGCTTACTCTCGCGCGATACGCCGTGATGGAGAACTCACAGTTAGCATCGTTCTCGCACGTAGCCCTCTCCACGACTTCAGTTCTCGTTTTAGTATATTAGCGCTTTGTGTGAGTAAATGAGTTAAACTTTCTTATTCACTCAATGACACGCAATCGTTTTTATCATTTAGATATAAATAATAATAAGCGATTCATGAATCAGCATTAATAAACAAGATTAGAAGTTGTAAATTTTTATATGAATTTATTGACAAGTTTTAAAAATAGATATTTGAAGAATTTCAAAATTGTTAAGATTAACATTTTTTTTAATTTTGGTTTTAAAAATATTAATTTAACATTAAATTTTTGTGGAAGATTTTATAAGTTTTAAGTTTATATTAATTTTTATAATAAATTTTTGTATACTTTTTTGTGAAATTTTGTGTAATTTATAATTAGATTTTCATTTTCTTTATTTGAATATTTTATGATCATTCTAAGGCTTTTGAAGTTTTCAAAATTCAATATTTTATGTATATGAAATATTATATACAATCAGTCTACATTTGCTTTAATTTTCTTTTATTTTAATTTTGTTTTTTATTGAAAAAGCAATAATAAATAGTTGATAGCTATAATAATGTGCTGTTTAATATTGAAATGATTAAAACTATATTTATTTATTTGACTTAACAATGTCTTCTTTGCTTTTATCTACTCAGATACAATTTTATAGTAATATTTAATTTTGTATCTGTTAAATAGATAAATGTATGTATATACTCAGAAATATATATATATAATTAAATTTATTATATTACATACATTTAAAGAAGAAAAAGTAATAAAATATTTATTTCGTAACCTGTTTTTATATCTTTATTATTATCAACAAATCTGTTCCTTTTTAATTATATTTTATAATATTTTTATATATAAAATTTAATAAGGGAAATAATAAAATTAATAAACAATAAAAATTAAAAAAATAAATTTACATTTCATTCTTTACCCAATCTGCTTTTTTAATAGTTCTTTCACAGTTGGTCATATTTCTTTTACATTTTAAATAAAATAAATAAAAAACAAATAAAATATACAGAAAATAAACTAAAATACGGAGATTTCTCTTAGCAATGTATTTAGTTTTGTCTAGCTGCAACGATCACTCGCATCATGTTATCGCAAGGTCAATGCTCTGTAGCTGACCGTATCTTCCTTTCTTGCTCAGTATATTTTACTAGTTTACAGTATAAAGTCGTATGCTATGTATGCTATGTTAAATTAAATGCAACACAAACACGATAGGTTTTATATAATCCAATATTGCGAAAAAAATAACATAAAAAATTTAACATTTTTTAATTAAAAATTCAGAACTGCACATTAATAGTCTGTATAGAGGATGTTCCGGAAATCGTGATATAACCGATAAGTGAGTGATTCTACATGAAAAAAAAATAAATCGAAAGCGTAGAATAATTTTGTTTTTAAATTAGGCTTTGCTTTTGGGGGAAAATTAACATTTTTTAATTAATTTTTTATGTAGAATTATCTTCATCTCGGTTGTATATAATTTTTGGAACCATAGATATATTGCCGCGCGAACTAAAATTTTTTTACTTTAAATTAAAAGAATGTAATATAAAAAATTAAATGAATAATAAGGAATTATAATTATTGTGAAATACAGAAATTTAATATTTTACACACACACACACACACACAAATACATACTGAAAGGCAGGAAAAGTAGGAAAAAAGCGAAAGCGGCGCGCCCGACAAAAAGAATAATTACTATGAGAAAATAGTATAAACTAGTAGCATTCCATAGAAAGGATATCACACTTTTAATTATATGGAAAATTATAATTGGATAATCTCTCTCTCTCTATATAATAGTTTAGTGTAGCTTAAATTATAATGTAGTAGAACAAAAGATAGATATAAGGTTCAATACAATGGATAATTTTTAATATTTTTATTGCTATAAAACTTTATATTAGGCGACGTCGCACTAAAATTGTGGTAAAACTATGTTAGGCAACCTCGCCCCTATGAACTTGATCTTGACTATAGGTCATGAGTAATCTGCAACAAGTTTTAGCCGTCGCTCGTTATGCATTAAAACGTTATTAACCAAACAATTTTTATAAATAAAACATAATTTTTTAACACAAAATAATTATTTCATTATACAGGTTGTTTCTTAAAGGCCGCCTACTAATCGCATAGCGCTATTCCTGATTAAAAATTGAGTCAAAAAGTCCTGAACCATTTTCTTACAATGCTCAGTAAAGCAGCTGTTTATTACCGAGTAAAACTAATCCAATCGGCGCCGTCCTTTAAACTTAGAGGAATGCACGTCAGTGAACTGCGCGCCTATAAAGGTGTGTGCTTATATATATTTGATCTTATATGTATGCATGTGAATGCACTTTTCCCGTTAAATAGATAGATAGAGAGAGAGAGAGAGAGAGAGAGAGAGAGGGAGAGAGAGAGAGAGGGAGAGAGAGAAAGAAAGACAGATAATATCGTATCTTTTATTCTTCGTTGTACCAAATGTACGATACGCATTCTCGAAATGTTATATGAGAAATACAATGCTTCCGATAACTCAAGTTCGAATTAGTTCTACTACGAAAAATATAACAGACGTAATTACTTCGAATACTTTCATGACAACTCTACGCTGTCTTGTATGCCATGAGTTGAATTGAGTTAATTGACTGATAGCAATGAAATCGGAGAAACAATAAAAAGTAATTTCACAAAATTTTACAAATTGTGAGACGCACAATATACTTTTATTATAATTTATACTAAGATTAAATTTATTTAAAGTTACAATCATGTAAAATTATCGTGTAGTTTTAAAATGCGTTACTGTAAATTGAAAAAATTTAACTATAATTATTTAACTTCCCTTGTAAATTCTAAGTAAAAAAGGAAACGAGTATAGAGTTTTAAGTTTACAAAGAAAAATTTTAAAACAATTTATAAGCAAAAAGATTTTATTTTTTTATGTAAGCTATAATCTGATACGTTCTGACAAGAGTTAATTGTATCCCTTGTCGAAATTTCTCGAAAGAATATACTTCTGACACAGAAAAATTTTTAATGCAAAAGAAAACTTTTTGCATTATTATATTGCATGCTAGCAGTGAAGACAGTGATGACAAGCTTCAGAACACTCACCATCAGGCCCGTGGTCCACTGACATGCACTCATCTAAAGAACGGCGCTGATTGAATTAGCTTTACTCGGTAATAACCTTCTAAGCATTGGAAAGCATTGAGGAAAAAATCTTTTTACATTAAATAAATACGCTGTATTGAAATTAAATATTTTAACTAAAATGTTTATTTCGATTAGAAGAATGTTTTATAATATCTAATAAATTATTGTTAATAAGATTAGAAACAAGACCGTTTATGTTAGTACACCTACATCACCTAAATACGAGAGAACCGCCATTTTCGAAATTAGATGTTAAACTAATACATGTATATGTATTCTTTAAATTCCTTAATGAATTTATATCTCAGAAATTTGACTGCGCACCGATTACTTTCGGATTTTCAACACAATCAATTTGAAATATTAATATTTCTCCCAAATTTAATTAAAAGCATCTTAAAACCTGTAAAGAGCTTATTGCGAAAAATATTACCTCGGCCAGAGATCCAACTCGGATCTTCAATATTCCATGCGAGCATCCTCAGCTCCGATGGTCTAAGGTATCTTTTCATGCTCAACGCTCATTTTCAGCGTCAAAATAAGTCACGTGATCAAAATTGACCCTTGGTATTCGTCAATTTTTATGACGTGACCTATAATTTTGAAGCTGAAAATGAGCGTCGAGCGTCAGCATGAAGAGGCACCTTGACGGTAAGATCCCCCTGATACGATAAAGAACCCCTGCTTACAAGGCGTTCGATTTTCCACGCGAAACGTTTTTCACTCCATACCCTTTCCCCCGCCCTGTTTAAAATATGTAGTTTATGATTCAAAATTTATACCTCCATATTATCTGCTTTAATTAATTACTTGCTACCCGAAAATGGGGGAATGAGGTGGACCTCGCTTCGTGTGGAAAGTCGTCATGTCCCATAAGCAGAGAGGGTATTGGATAATTCTTAACTTTGTATATAGCAGAATAAGAAATTATTTCTTAAACTTTTTTTATTAATTACTTTTTAACAAATACCGAATGATGGCTAAAACGTTGAAGATCACTCAGAATACATGATCTTGATAATATATGTGAAGATCAAGGTCATCATGGCGGTTTCCTAATGTAAGCTTTTACCTGAAAAAGGTAAATGCATATTATTATAGCCTCAACATTTTGGTATTAACCTTCGAGTATGGTATGTGAGGTATTTGAGTACCCCAAGCATATAGTTTTTCTTAAATATTTCATATTTTTAGACTGATAACAGAGCTCATCAATTTAATATTTTCCTATTAATGATTACTTGACAGATTAAAGTGGTAGTGGCTCATTGATATTGAAGCAGTATAAACAATAATAGAGCGTCAAACATGCTCGGGGTGCTGTGGACTCGACCTACTTGTGTTTTCTTTTTATACTTTATCTTTTTTTGAGTTTTTATATAATCAGTGGTTTTTCTCTGCTGTAGTCTAGAGTTTTCTTATTTATTACTTTTCTTACCTTATTTATATTATTTTTACATATCTCTATTTTATTAGAATGTAACTAATGTAAATTTAATTATAAAAAGTAAATAATCTTATTTTTCTTTTATTTTTGTTGTTACAATATATTTCAATTATATAAAACAAAATGTAATTTTATGTTTTTTTAATTCAAACATTGACTGTTTTATTTTTGTCATTAAAATATTCATTTCTTGTAAAAAAATTAACAATTTTTGTATCTTTTATTTCGCTATTTATCTTATCTTGAACTCAATATTTTTTAATGACAATTTTGTACGATTTATGTTTTAAGGTACTATTTAGTATTAAAATATTTGTATTTTTACCCTTTTTTAAGTTAGAGTTATGTTTTTTTAATAATAAATGGCATTAGGAAATAAAACGGGAAAATCCATAACTAAAAACGCCGTTCTGGAAAAAAAAATTTAAAAGTATTGTCCGGAAGTGTTAAAGTTAATTATTTTTACATTTTTCTATCTCATTAGAGTCTAAGTAATGTAAATTTAACTAAAATATAATATTATAGTAAAAAATATAATTATAAAAATAAAAACTGTGTGTGTGTGTGTGTGTGTGTGTGTGTGTGTGTGAGGTATTTTAGCACCTACCTACTTGCGTTTCAAAAATCCACCTACCTACTCAAAGATTAAGATTTTCATCTCAAAATGATGTCAGGAATCTTAAGCGTTGCTACGATCTTTACCCTGCATACATGTATACATACGTGTGTGTGTGTGTGGTGTGTGTGTGTGTGTGTGTGTGTATGAGAGGAACCCTATATATAAAGAACTCGTCGTACATGGTCTTCTAAAAAAAATCGACGCCTAAAGTGAAAGTAACGAAGGGTTTTAATTGTACGGAGCAGTAAAGTCATGACATCCAAGGTATTAGTGATATTTGTATTGGTCAGCATTTTCGGTTCGACTGATTCACTCTGGACAATTATATCAGAAATTTTAATTGCTCCAACAAGTAAGTAACTTTTCGTGTTTATAAATATTATTCATCAATCATTTAAGGGTGTTAATAAAACTATATGCTAAAAATTATCGAAATTAAAAAACTTCATGTTCTTTAAATATTTTTTTATTTTAATGACATCAAATTTTAGTCGTGAATACGTTCTGTATTAACTGCAAAGAACAAAATGATTAATAATTAATTTGGCTATAATAGTTTGTATGCAATGACCATATTTTTTCTACAATTTTAAATAAATAACTTTTTTAATGTATCGAATATAAAAATAATAAAAAAAAGGATAATTTTACTAGTCGATTTATAAATAAATTTAATTAAAATAATTAATTAAATTTACTAGATCACTCTAATCATAATTTTTTTATATTAGTCTTAAATTACGTCCAAAAATATATAAACTTTAGTTTAATAAACAATAATATCAATAATATCAATAATCAAGAATAAGAGAATTACTACTTATCTAATTTTATACAGCTACCGAGTTCATTTTAGCCAAAAGCCAAAATTCATAATCATTTCAATTCACAATTAGCATATGTTCTTGTCACTAATTCGATATTATAATATAAGATTTATGTCGCTCTTCTGTCTCAGGCCTCTTTCTCAGAGAATGACTTTACTTATGAACAAGTTGATAATCAAAATGTCACCAAGTTGGCACTAAACTCGCTCAGAATTCGATGTCATCTGTATCAGCAACGTGTTTTGCTAGTAAATCCCGCATACATATAACTATTATAGACAACAAATTGACAGCAAAAACCGAACAAAACTCTGGTTAATCTTATTTTTGGTCGGTTCTTACCATCAATTTAGTCAGCAAGTTTAGCATAGTTTTGCCGATAATTTATTCTTATATTACGTCAGCAGATTTTATTATCCTCCTCTAATTTATTGACATTATTAAATGTAATAGAATTTATATCAAAGATATCTTTTTATCGACAAGAATTGTAGCATTTGACACAATTTATTTTCGACAGATTTGACTGACTGGATAATATATCCCGTAAGAATTATCAAGATTATCTCCAAGATTATCTCCAAGATTATCTCTAAGATTCTTATATTTTTCCACAGTAAGTCTTTCGTCTAAAAACGATCTGTCTACTTTGAACAAAGTGGGTAGGACTTGACTAAGTGCCTACATTTTTTTTGTGCTTCTCATCTCTGACCTATCCTTTTCTCATTCTTCTTATTTCATTATCTCTCGTTTTACATTCTATATTATATAGGGTGTCCCAAACCTTTTGACACAGCGCTCGTATGTAAGCAGAGCAGACTAAACTGATTTATTTGATATGTAGTACATGTTATTTAGTTCGTAATGCTTATACTTTTTCATTAAATTTGGAAATAAGTATTACAAAATGCGATTGTATAAAAGACCCAATGCAAATAAAAAATGAAATAATGTTTAATACCCCCCTGGCGAAAAAAAATTTTTACAAAAAGGTACAGAAAAACTAAATACATAAATTGAAACAAGATCTTAGAAATTTTTAATTTTTCGTAGATATTCGTAGTGGAACGTATAGTGAGGTTTGTTTGTCTTAGAAACTTTTAATTTTTCATAGATATTCGTAGTGAGACGTAGAGTTGCATTGAGGGCGGAGGATTTCTAGGTTTTTTCAAATAAACAACACCGCTGTACGTTCCACTACTATCTATGAGAATATCTATGAGAAACTAATTAATTTCTAAAATCTTCTCTCAATCTATGTAATTTTTCATAAAAGTTTTTCTGCTAGGGTCGTATCAATTTATGAAGATATTCATTTCAAACTAAAAATTGTAAAAATTTTTATATTTTTGTGCGAATTCCATTATAATACTTCAAATCACATTGAAGTAATACTTCAAATCACATTGATCAATAAAAAAAACAGCTGTTTTGCACAGCCTTTATTTCTTTCTTTTTTTATATTTTTAGCAGGAACCTTGTAAAAAACTATAGCAAAAAAGTAAAAAATTTTAAATTAACAGAAGTGTTACATCAATGAAAGAATTGAGTTCTAATTTTACACAGATACTCGCAAGCATAATAATAAAACAGTCTATAAAAATTTTATTTTAGTAATACTTTAAGATGCGACACATACGTCCTTAAGCTCGAGTAAAATAAGATAAAGTAAGGCTTTTTCATCCATTTCTCGCAATTTATGTTTCTGCGAACAGCATATATTAAACATTTTAAGAACTTTATGCTTGTCATATCAGAAAGCAATCATGAAATGTATTTTAAATACAACATCACTACAAAAGGATGTTGCTTGTTGCTGCAAATTTTCATATTATTTTATTAAATTGAAACTGACGGAAGAGCCCCACTTTCCCTAAGTATATAATTATAGGAAAATTTATAGTTTTGTTTTTATTATTTATCAGCGCCAAGAAAATGCGTACAGGGAAAAAAATATTTTGATGGCTGCAATACTGATATTTGTATCCTCGAAGACACGATTTTTTGCACCAACGATCAACGGAATTGGCTGCGTGCTCATCATATGATTCAAAAACAAATTGTTTCCTATCAGTGCCAGAAATTTCACCAATTGCTGATGTCTGTGCCAAACTATACACTTGATTGCGACCGAACTTGCTCATACACAAATTTAATCGTGTGCGATTAATAAATAATGTAACAATTGTTTCTTACAAAACGTTGAATTAATACCTTACGTGTTATAAAACAACTATGAAGTCTATATCAATAACTTTTTTAATCCTGTATGCTTTAAATTCTAAATTTTTACAGGATTTAAAATGGTCATTATGATATGCAACTCAAAAGAATTAAATATAATATATATGGGGCATTCCATGCCAAGAGAACCACCCATTTTGCGAAGTTTCATGAATTTCGTTCATATTGCTTGAACTTGAACAGTTTGATGAATAAAGACTCTATGCCGAATAATAGACCCGTAGGCTAACTGGTTACCGAACAGTAAGACCGTCAATTTTTGGGCTATCTCGTCGCAGCGCTTTCTCTTTTCGCTTGTCGTTAGTGAATATGAAAGGCAAGTTTGAAAATGAAATAGAAAAGGATATGATAAATAGTTTTCTTATAGAAAATTGAACGCTCTTTCATGAAAATACTCTTTTTTCGATCAGATGTTTTTCGACGATGTCTGTCCGTTTTGAAATTTTCAAAATGGCGGCGCAATTAAAAGGCCAGTCTCAATTTTCTTTTAATATAGCTCAAAATGTAGCCCCAGGTTTCTACTTTGTTACTCTAAAAGGACTTAATGGGACACGCATTCGTTTGGAAGTAAGAGCTCGGAAAGTGAGGCAATGTCATTTGAAAAATATGTTTTTCGAACGTTAAAACGGTTTAAACTTTAAAATAAACATTTTTTAAGTATTAATGAAATGTTCTTTCGAACGTTTAAATAAACGTATTTTTTAATGAAGAAAGGTTGCCTTAATTCATTTATATATTTTTAAAAATGTTTTTATAAATATTTTTCGAATTCTTTTAAAAACATTTTTACAATCGTTATTCGTTGACTAGACTCTGATTCATGTGTCTATCTAATTAGTTAACTTAAAGTCGTTCCTACTTAAAAAGTCGTGTTTAGACGCAACTTTTCCAGCAAAAAATGTTGCTTCATTTAATACGGAAAACAATCCCGTGTCCACAAATTCTATAATACTTATATATCTTGTTCTGTGTACGTGAGTAATTGAGTATATAAAAATAAATGATCGAAAAACCCTTTCATTTAATTTGCTTTATTTGACATCAACAATGATTTATATAAGTAACAGATTTATTGTGAATCTACAGAAAAATGGCGTTTTACTTTGCTTAAACCCCGATATCTTAGAAATTTTATATTTACTATATTATCACTGCATATAATATATATATGTATAGGAAATATTATGATTTTCTATTCAGCCGATGTATTTTACAATCTTCTTGTTTTACTGTTTTTCTTTGTTCAACTGAACTGCCGAAGTGATTGCGCACGTTATTAAACCAAAGGCTCTATCTTCTCGAGTCAATTGGCTGTTTTCGTTTACTGGAAAAATTGAAGACAAAATTTTTAACAATATTCATAAACTATACATACATTATTATATCATACATGTAATATAAAAGTGCGTATTATATACGCAAATTGATATTGGAATATCAACTTCTAACTTACAAAAATATTTAAAAAATGTTTACATTGTTTTAGTAACTACAATGAAATACATAACCAACTGATCCCCTACAATTAATAAACTTTGAATATGTTAAAATATAAACAAAAATAAGTATACGTTTTGAAATACATGTTGAGTCGCACGTTCATATTGAAATGCAGATTTGAAACCAGTTATTTCAAAATTAAATGGCATTCCAAATTTGAAAATGGCGGATCCAATACTGCAAATGTAGGTGACTTGGGACAGCATTTTTGTTAAATTTAATCGTGGTATCCACACACACGAGTCATTAAAAAAAAATTTAAAACTTAAGAGACTCATGTGTTGATGGATACCACGATTAAATTTAACAAAAATACATGCTGTCTCAAATTACCTACACTGTCCCAAGTCACCTACATTTATGATATGTAAAAATTCCAAAATTTGATAAGACAGACTAAAATGCTAAGTTCTGTTGGATTTGAGTGAGATTGTTGGATTGAGCTCATTTTCTAGGAGCTCTTCGAGTCACTTGTTAGATGTATAGTTCACAAGATGTAAATAAAAAAGATCGAATCAATAGTATTCATGGAACTTTTTAAGCACGTGATAAGACAGATCGTTCAAATAAATAATTTTAAATTTTGGATGCGCCATTTTGAATTCTGATATTTGGCTAAAGATTCATAATGAACGATTCTAATATCCTTTAATAAGACGTAAATTAAATGCTAATTATTCCTTAAAAAATGTCAAGCACGAAACGATTAAAATTGTTTTGTATGTGAACGTGCGTGCGAGAATTGATATCGAAACACAAAAAATTGTCACTTTTTACACATAAAAAAACGTCTTTAGATCTTCAAATTGACTGCATCGATTTTATTTAGATTCGTCACAGTCGAGAATATATGCCGACATTATATAAAAGAGTACATTTAAATTTTTGAATGTTTATTTAGTTTCTGAGATATTTTATTCGAAAGCTTGTTTGACGTAATAATTGTAATAATTGTCGATGAACTTGATAGCGACTTAACATTTATGCATTGTCGTAGTTACCTTTTTTAAGTATTTCTTGATCGCGTCGCATATAATTACAACTAATTCACACGCAAAGGAAGAAAAGTTCCTACGAACTCTCAAAATTATCAACAGCAGAATAAGACTAATGAGAGTGCGACGCAGTAAACAGAGCGCAATTAATTTTACAAAGTAAAGATTATATTAATTGCACTCTGTTTACTGCCTCACACTCTCAACAATCTCTCATTCACCTTGTTCTATTGTTGTTAATTATAATAAAATTGTGGAAGAGGTAGAGAGAGCATATTTTGCATGCTATTTTGAATTTACTTACATGAATTTAAACATTCCGTTAAAGTCGTTAAATATTCCTCTGAAGGCGGTGGCAAATTACTTTTCGAACTTTCTTCTTTTATATTTTCAATTAACTTGTCTACAACCAACTTCGAATCTACCAACTGAAATAAAAGAAAAGAAGAATACAGTACCCCATCTGCTTATGAGTTGTCTATTTAAAAGATTAATTATTGACTATCATTTTAATCAATTTTTATTAAGTTTATGTTGGGCAATATGTATTATACGTTATATTTCAGCTTGTGTAATTATTTATCGTAAACATGCTATTCCCACACAGCACATTTTATCCGAGGAACGTTTTAAGAATGTCGCTAGGATGTAGAAGGTCCTCTAGATGTTTTTAGAACGTTCCTTAAAGGTCCGTATGAATTAAAAGTAAAATAATTAAACGTAAAATGAATTAAAAGTAAAAAAATTAAAAAATAAGGAACGTTCTAAAAACATCTAGAGGATGTTTTTAGAACGTTCCTCGGATAAAATGTGCTGTATGGGAATAGCATGTTTACGATAAATAATTACACAAGCTGAAATATAACGTATAATACATATTGCCCAACATACATTAGTATTCATTATTTTTTGTGAATATGTTTTATTATGCATTGTTAAATAGATTTATTATTTTATTAATTTCATATTTGATTGCATCTCCTCAAGTAGCACACATCAGCGCTTACAAAGCGTTAACAAAGCGCTAAAAAGGGCATATAATATAAACTACTTGAGTCTAATAAATTCTGAGTCTTTTTTGAAACATAGAACAAAAAATTTAAGCAAAATATAAAAATTAAGTATTTCAATTAACTTTTATATTAAATTTGTGTTATAAATAGGCTATTTTTCATGCATTTTTTATGTATCTTAACAAAACATGATTGGAAAAATAGTTATTTTATAATTGCTTCACTGTATTTTTTATCAGAATTCTTTATGTCTAATAATTATTTATTAGTATAATAATTATTACAAATTATTACCAATCCTTGCTTTTCTAATAAACAAGCTATAAAACTATTGTATTTCATTTGAGTTTGATATGCATTGGTTGCATCCTCCTTGGCGTTCTCCAAATCAGTCCATCTTTGCAACCAAGTACTTATATCCTCTAGGAAATTATAAACATTTTTTTTCATTACATGAAATTGAAGGGTACATTTTGAAAATTTATATAAAAGAGATTTTATTAAAATATATAGATATGCAATTTTATTGTACATTATTTAATGCTTTCTTCTAAATTGCTTTCGCAAAGATTTAGAAATTACATAAAATTTTTTAAGTTATTTTTTACTCCTAAGTTTTAAATTTCAAATTATAAATTTAAAATTATGAATTTTTAATGTATAATATTCTAAATTCGGAGTCCTGATAATAATAATAATATTAATAAGATACTAAAAGGACTATATTTATTTGTAAATTTATTATTTCTAGATAATTTACCTTTTTTTATTCCTTCTTCATTCAGACATGCCTGTAATATCGTTACATTGGTTTTCAATTTTTTTGCAATCTCTTCCAAGCTTTCATCACCTGCAATTACCTAAAATACAATCATATTACCTTGTATTTTATTAATGTGACAATCTTAAATTATGATGATCACAATTATACTTGAAGTTATTATATGACATAAAAGATATAAATTATTTATACCAGTTTATAAAAGAATTATTGCATAACACATTCTAATTCTCTCGTTGTATTTGAAGTACCGTATTTGAAATACATAATTTGTATTTTGTATTTTATATTTCAGCAGAACACACAAAAGTATACTATATTCAATTATATTTCAAATATTAAGATTGACAATATTTGTATTTTGTATATGTATTTTAATTAATTTAAGTAATTTAATTGCAATTAAATTATTTACAGATTTGTATTATGAGTCTTCTAAGATGAACATTTAAGTTATTAAAATTTATTTGTGATATTCTACTATTTCGGCTTCGGTTTAGGGTTGTGTTTTAAGACCAACAAATAACTAATCAGTACACAGTTAACTTCAATTGGAAATTGTATAAATTCACAAAAAGAAATATATTAGACACAAAATTAAGCCTTGATAGAATGGCCTTTTTTTCACTTACATGTGTTTAATCTCATCGATCGATTTTTACTCAATATATTATTGCTTTTATTTTGTATTTTAAGTACTTTAATGATTTATAAACTTCGTTTTTTTTTCTTCTATATTGGGTTTATATCGAAAAAATTTTTCCATATATCTAGTCGATAGAAAATTTAATTTTCTACAAAAAAGTTCTATTGATATTTTTTCGTATTTTGCGTTGTTTTCGAGATATATTAAAAATAATAAAAAATGACACTTTTCGTTAATATCTCCGAAATGCACCGCTAAATTTAATAGCATTTTTTTAATTATTTACATGTTGAATGATCGTATGAATTAATAAAATTGCATTAAAACATTAGTTTCTTTTAAAAATCTTTAGGCAATAAGCTATACAATATAATCCTAATTTAAAGCTTGCTTATAAAATGTACGATATTTAAAATTAGAAAAGAAGTAAATAATGCAATTTTCTTGTATATTGTGAGTTCTGCAATAATACATTTGTATAAAATGTTTTATTTAAATTTTTTATTTAAATAAGTTAAAAAAGAGAACCATGTGTATATTATACGTGTATGAAAATAAAATAAACTTACGGTAGCAATTAGCGCTAAAACGAAAAACGTAACTGATCTCTTCATTTTTCTACGTTTCAGTGATATAGAAATTAACAACTTGCATAAAGTTAATCCGACAACTGAATACATTGTATTTCTATGGCTCATATTTATATTGTCTGTGGTGTTGTATATGATCTTACATCATCGAGAGAGAATGCTTTGTATATAGATATACATGCTCGGAAATTTACTGAAGCGCGATTAGTATAATTTGCCGACATATCAGATTTACATAAGTTTCGATGGCATTGTAATACTGCGCGATTACAATATGTTTCATACATGCATGTGGAAATTATAGGTGCATGCGTCAATGTGTCGCATATGTTACATTCAGAAAAAACACAGCATCACAAAAACAAACACAAAAACATATGTAGTTTTATATAAAACTACTTCAATCGAAATAATTAATAATGTATTATAAGTAAACACATAAAAACACAAGATAGAATACATGTTTTAATATACACATATAAATAAATATAAATATATAAAGAAAATAAAATTTTATTTCTTTTTATATTATTTTTAACTTTAATATATTATTTTTTAATATTTAAGTTATTTAATAATTATTATTTTATGTAAAGAATAAAATTAAAATTGTGGTTATAATTACAACTCTGCAATCTAAGATTTGAGAACATATTACACATATACATATATAAAATTATACTTATATTACTAATTACATCTGCAAAAATTACATTTTGAAGTATTAATATGATTAATATAAGTAATATTTTGTACAAGAAATACTCTTATCTTATTAAACAATATAATTTTGAAATATGGGATTGTATTGCGTATTCACTGATAAGCCGATTCACGCTCACAACGCTGTCAAATGTCAAATGTAAAACAAAGATAAATGATGCTCATAACATGAGCGTTATAAGCATGAATCGGACCGCGGCTATAGATAACGAATAAAGAAGAATAAGGGATTATTATGAAATAATAAACGATAAAAATAATAGTAGCAAATTACGATGACAACAGGTGATAAAAATAATAACGATAATTATAGTTACTGCTCAAGGTCCGTAACATGCTGTTTTGTTACAGCGGGTATGCCTCACGCGCGTGCAATAATTATACAAACTCAATCTTTAATTTGATCTTGCGTATTGTCGGATATATTTCAGGATAAATTGTTTCTCCGAAAGTGAAACTTTTCCAGCATTGTGATCAGTTTCGGCATTGGTTGCTAAATAATAAAATCTAACTAGAATTATGAATAACGTGTGCATGTTCATCAAATGGTTAATTTTTTAATATTTTTGGAGCAAATCTACATTATCACGCTTTATCAAATTTCAATACAATGGTAATATATGCCATACTGAATAAAATAATTTAAAATAATTACATTTTTTATTATTGACATTTATTGTAGGAATATTTCATAAATATTAGTTTTGATAAATTTTTTATTTACATATCGTTTCATCTTTATTTTATTTTTATAGAATGTAAATGAAATAGAAGTAAAATATTTAATAAAATTTATCAATTTCACAATTTTTGTAGATATTTTCTAAGATCTTATTCTCTTTTCAAATTTTGATAGACTTTAAATAGAAAATTTGAAAATCTTAATTTACATAAGGAAATTGGAAAAACTGTGAAATTTACAATATTATGAGAAAGTTACCTTTATTCTTTTATATTTATTTTTAAAAGGTGTTTAATACACGATAATCACTATTTGAGATGATGTTTAAAATGTCATCCTTTTCAATATTTTATTCCAATCTTTCTCGTTTCGGAACAATTTTAAGTATGCGACGCTGCATATACGAAATGAATTCTACCATTACAAACTATTATATAATCAGTGACGTCATGACGTGATTCGCTTACGTTTACGAGATTTCCATCTTCGCTTTATACACGTACATACATAAGGGTGTATATGTATAGGTATGTAATTTCCACATAAGCATAAGATAAAGCGAGGTAATTTGGATCATAGGGTATTAGAAATTTTCAAATTATATAAAAAATTGAGATCGAATAATGTATTTAAACATACAAAATATACACTATAATGCAATAGAGTGGCTGTGTTCCGTTACACGTGTAATGCGCATAATGTGTCATTTTATCCTTGTTTAACGTTCTGCGAACATGGTTAAAACACGAAATAATGATAACACGTGGCACACATCTCAGGGCATTAATTCACGAGATAGGTGTCAGTTGCATCCTCTCATGCTTCCTTCCGTAACTCTATTAAATCCAAGATTAAATCTAATGTATATATAATAAAGAATCCTGGGGATTGGACGTAATAATAGCTTCTAAAATAAATGGACCCATTTGAATATTAAAAAAGTATTTATTGAGCATATACTTACATATTATAGTGATAATAATAATCATTAATGATAAAAGTGGTATAATCATAATCAATTAGTGGTACAGATTTTTTTAACAAATGAAACGTTGTTTACTTAAATGTAATTTTTAATAAATTTTTCCGATTTGTATCGGTTTGACTAGCATTTTAGAAGAATACTAACAACATTAGGACTATCGCATTAATTATCATAAAAAAGATAAAAACATGTCTACGTAAAGATTACGATATGTTATGAAGTGAAAAATACATTTAATAAATTATATGGGTTAATGCACATTTATAAACTGTTAACTATTATTACATATTTAACAAATATATAAATTATAAAAGACATTAAAAGAATGCGAGGCTGATTTATGCGATTCTCTGTAGCAAAATACTTCTAGCATATTTCTGCAAATTTAAAAAGTCGATTTCTTCTGAATTTAAATAGTAGTCAACATTTTTTTATATTTTCATTATATACTGATTACACATTATTGCATATGTAACATTATCATTCTTTATTTCGCACTTTTATTGACACGTATGAGTTACACACAGCCTTTTAGATTTCACTAAAAATCAGCCCAGCAAATTCTTTTGCAGGAAGAAAGCAACAGTAAGAGAGAATCCAGCAATCAAGCTGATGTTTTTTATCGTTATTTTGACATCAAAATGACATCTGTATATCGTCAAAATAGCATCAAAATGACGACAAATAACGTTAGCTTATTTGCTAAGAAACCGTATGCGAAAAATATGAATGAAAATCTGTCTACTTGCAATAATAAATATACGAAATTTGCCTTAGAATACGGATTGCTTATTATGAACTCTTATCAGAATTTGTGATTTTTCATCTCGAAAGTACTTGAAATAAGATATCTAAGCTAGTCTTCTTTACTTTCTATTCTAAATTTCGCACACGAATCAAGATGTTTCCTCATTAATTATATTTATCACTCGATATTATAGAAAACGTATAGCAATTTGCACGTCATTTCATATGTATATTATGAAAAAATTTGTGTACTACTTTTATACATATACACACATATATATACAATGTGTATATGTATGTTTATACAAGGTGATTCATTTTAATCTTAATAGACAATATTTCGAAAAATATGGTACGAAAAACGTTTCAGGCAAAAATGGAACGATTTCGAGGAGAACGTATTTTAATCACGTTATTCTTTTTCTAAGTCGAGGCGACAAAAAGATAAGGTTTTCCATTTTTTTGGAAAAATGGAAAACCTATGGAATTTATATGATCTTTTTCACATAATATGATTCTTCTAATTATTCTACATATAAAAGTATTAAGATAAAGAAAAAATTAATAGTTTATGAAATATTTAATATTTTATGTCAAAATATATCAAAATAAAGTATAAAATATCTGGTAAACTATTGATTTTTTTTATATCCCTACCTTAATACTTTTAAATTAAAATAATTAGAGGAATCATCTTAAATAGCGATGCACCGGATATCCGAGAAATATCCCATATTAAGCATTATTCGACATCTTTTTATTATTCAGCCGGATAGCCGGATATCATTAATATTCTGTAATATATCCTGTGAAAATTTTATATTGATAGTTTGTGTCATTAATGCAGAATTTTATTCTTTTCAGCTGAATTTCTTGTACAATTCATCTTTTCTCTTTTTCTATTCACGTTGGGAAGATAAAGAAAATTTTTATCACTATTTTTCCTTTCTTTTGGAAGCTTTCTTCCAGATATTCAGC